TCTAAGTTACTAAAACAAATAAGTGAAGCGACACGCATCCCAAAGAGTCAGATATTTTGTTGGACTGATTCTACGATAGTGTTGTCATGGCTACGAGGAGATCCAAATAGATGGCACATATTCGTAAGAAATAGAGTAATAACCATACTAGACAATATTGGAAACAAATGGTACCATATACCGTCACAACAAAATCCAGCTGATGTCGCATCGAGAGGAATGTTGGCTTTTGAATTGAGAAAATACGCACTCTGGTGGCACGGTCCGGAACATCTGAAACAAGAAAAAATACATATGGAAACATTAATTGACGAAGAAACAGACTTAGAAAGTAAAAAAACTATTAATACTTACCTTACAAGAGAAAGCGAAGAAAATTCCGTGTACCAAAAAATGGAATGTTTCAAAAACTTACCTGAATTACTGGAAACTATCACGTACGCTAAAAGATTTCTGAACCTAAGACAAAATCAATCTGTAGATATACCGATCACCACGGAAGAACTCGAAAACTCGCTACACACCTGCATAAAAATAGTACAAGATGTTAAATTCCACGAAGACATCAGAGACTTGAAAGAGAAGAACAAAGTAAGAAATACAAGTCGTTTGAAGACCCTAAACCCTTACCTGGATACTAAAATGATACTCAGGGTGGGCGGTCGATTACAAAACGCCAACTATTTAGATCTCGACCGTCTGCATCCTATAGTCTTAGATGACAAAAATCCACTTACCTTCTTGCTAGTAGCTGATGCTCACAAAAAGACGCTGCACGGAGGAGTACATTTAATGCTAAATTACCTGAGGTCAAGATACTGGATTCTGAAAGTGAAGGGTTTAGTAAAGACATACATTCATAAATGCTTTGTCTGTGCCAAACTGAATGCAAGATCTCGGACACAACAAATGGGCGAGTTACCCAAGGTGCGAGTGACCCCAGCACGGCCATTTCTCCACAGTGGTGTTGATTTTGCCGGGCCTTATGATGTTCTTATGTCCAAAGGCAGAGGTGCAAAAACCAAGAAGTCCTACATCTCCATCTTCATATGCATGTCGACAAGGGCAGTTCATTTAGAGCTGGTAGGAGATCTGTCTTCGGAAGCCTTCATCGCAGCCTATCGGCGCTTTGTATCACGTCGCGGAAGATGTAGTGATTTATGGAGTGACCAGGGAAGAAATTTCGTAGGAGCGAATAAATTACTTGCTGAGGCTTTCAAGGAGGCAAACTTTGAATTTGGAGATCAGATATCCAGTCTGCTAGCCGCTGTCGGCACTCAGTGGCATTTCATACCTGCCTATAGCCCAAATTTTGGAGGCCTGTGGGAGGCGGGTGTGAAATCCATGAAATTCCACCTCAAACGCATAATGAATAAGAGTTTGACATTCGAAGAGATGACTACCGTTTTATGTCAAGTGGAAGCATGCCTTAATTCCCGTCCTCTTTGCCCAATTATTGAGTCAGATTTGAACAACTTGGATGTACTTACACCTGGCCATTTCCTCATTGGAGAATCTCCAATTACTATACCCTCACCGAGCCTAAAGGATGTCTCCCAATCAAGTTTATCACGGTGGCAACATTGTCAACGGATATTGTCGAACTTTTGGGATCGCTGGCAGAGCGAGTACCTCTCCAGGCTTCAGCAAAGACCAAAGTGGCAAAAAATACAAGAAGAATTTGACAGAGGTCAGATTGTTCTTATCAAAACAGAAGGATTACCACCTGGCAAGTGGCCGTTAGGACGGATTGTGGACAAACACCCAGGACCGGATGGAATCACTAGGGTCTATAGCGTTAAAACTGGTACGAATACTGTAAGAAGATCAATTTCCAAACTATGTTTTCTACCAATCGATAGTAGTAATTAATTGCATGTGTAGTACATTATAAGTAATCATTTTGTTTAATGTTCACTCAATTCTGTTGTTTTTATCTTAATTTCGACTCATACGAGTAATAGACAAATTGGTAGGGTCTAATTTTGTTAAAGATAATATTTTATAATTTATTCAAATTAGTGTAATACATAGTTTTATGTATAATGTTAATCATTTCAATCAAGGTTTTGTTAACTTCACATTATTACTGTAATAGATAAATGCAGGCATAGTTATAGTCGTAAGAAAGACACTCAATTTGTTTTGTGATGTAAAACTTATGTTGTAGTCTAATTGTTGAACGGCATATTGTTTATCTGTTAGTTACTTGTTTAATTATTATTTGATGAACATAATGTCTGCATGATTTATTGTTAGTGAATATTGGTTATTATTATATTGTAAAAGGAATTAAATCCCTTTTGGTGGGCGGTATGTTTGCTATAAATCGTTGATTATCTGTCTTGTTCATTAGAGTAGTACCGAATAAACCATCATACTGCAAAGACGTGTGTTAATTTCTAAGAAGTCCTACAATCAATACTGAACCTTAATCAATTGAACAATGGTATTAATTCTGCCTTAAATCTACATTTACTTATCATTTGGTACAATTAAAGTTAAAATAAATGTATATTAAATACTCAGCCGGGGAAAATAGTAGTAGATTATAATCATTATTAAAAATGTTAGTTAGAAAAAAAATAAGTACGGTGTGTTACTCATTTTAAGTTTCTTTACAGACACACCTTGCTCTTTCACTGCAAAAAAAAAAAACTAATTGTAACTGACAAAACGTTCCGTAGATATTTTAAACTAGCTGTTACCCGCGACTTCGTTCGCGCGGAACTATTTATATTTCTTGTTAATTTATACTTTTTGACGCGACAACGTGTTGATTGGCAAGGCGTATTTGAGAGTTAGTATGAAACGGAACGTTTATTGCCTACTCAAGATGGCGACTGCGGTTTGTCTGTCAGTGTCATTAAAATGAATTAATAAAACGAAATAATCTTCGTAATCCGAATTTTGCGGATATATGATGCCGACTCGAAATCGATATTTTTTAAGTACTGTTACACAGGTAATGTTTCGATCGAGTCTACCGTACCCCTTGACGAAGTTCAGAGAGACAGGCGGAGAAACGCCCCACGGAAGCGCGGGCCATGAGCACACAGCCCGCCGCCTCCAGAACCCTATCGGGTTCGCCCGCCCAGTCCAGAAGTCTGCTGCGGGCGACAGTCACTCCAACCCTATCACCCCCGCTAGGGAGACTGTCGCCCGCACCCAGGGTGCACCACGGGGAGGTCTTCTGGCACCGCACCCCACGTTGACGTTTTATAGCCAACAGGGAGTATGAAAATACTTTACGACTTTACGCTGTACTGTTTTGATGGGGATTTCAATAATCTTAGTCTAATGTCGCGGAGAACCTAACGGGTAACCGGGGCTCCGGCTCGACGTGCAGGAGAAGGAACGGGGTGGTTTTTAGTCAGTAAGAGTCTGACACTCCCTTCCGCCTCACCCAGGCGGGGGCAGTCATTCGATGATTTTCCCCCCTTAAAAAAAAAAAAAATAAACCCCTTGACGAAATTATGAATATAGATGCGCATGCGGACCTCAGGGCCCACGGGTGCATAGAGTGGGGACTCTAGGTGCCCATCCAGTGGCCTCAGGAAAGACGGTAGCACAGTGAGCACGTGCTGCCGTGCAAAGCGATGACACATACGTCTCCCTAGGGATGTGCTGTAACAGGCGTTGCCCCGCGGGGGCACCGGAGCAGGTCTCTTCACAGGACCCGGTGCCCCTTGCGGCATTGCGGGTGCTGAGGGTGGCCACCGGCTTGATTTTAGTGAGGTGCGAATCCCACACTTCCTAATCTTTCTCTCAAGAAAGCTAGGCGCCTTTAAAAGAAAAATGCTCAACAACTTTATGGGGAATAATAATTATGTATTTTAATTACATTCTTCTAAACAGAAATGACTCATTTCACAATAATTAAATAATGCACGTTCCATGCTTTAAAAAAGAACCGTGAACTTGATTTATACGTCATCCTATGACGTCACTATTGATATCGTTTTCCTGTTATTGACCTTTCGAAGATGATCCTTCCGCTAATGATTACTCTGTTTAATGCCTAACCCATTTTAGTTCCGAATCAAATTCCGAGTGCGTTGGTCCTATCTAACCAGTATTTGTTCTGCAAAATGTTCGTTAGGATTTTTATTTTATTTTTATGTGGTGTTATAGTGACGGACAGTTCGTTAAATTTAGATGAAGGTACGTTTTATCTCTTACTATAATTTTTGAGTCGTTTCAGCTACATTCTTAGCTCTTATTCATTGTAGCGTGATCAATCGTGGCTATTCAACACAAAAAAGTATTATTTAATTCGATCCAGTAATTCCAGACATTAGCACATTCAAACAAACAAGCTGAAGAGTATTCAGCTTTATATATTAGTACTTACAGATATTTTTGGTCAGCATGAAAGTTATTCAACTGTTCAATCTGACAGTATGTAACAAATTGTTAAATATATATATTTATTTCAATAATAAATCTAGTAGCTGATGAGTAAAGTATGTAATTTTATAGTTTATTTCCCGCTTTGGATTACCTAGTACGTTAGTGTTATTCATTTTATCTGTTATAAGGTTCTTTTTTAAATAAAATAGGCATTCTATGAAATGGCCCATTCCCCTTTGATTGGAAATCCCCTTTAATGTTAACAGAGTCTAAATGCATGTGGAATGGAATCCCGGGAGAATGTGTTCGCATGTACAGATGTTTTAGCAGTTTTATTGACTTAAAGAACAAAGATTATGCTCCGGTAAGTAAGATCTTTTGATTACATTAACCAGCCTATCTGGAAGTCATTGGGGGCTTATGTTCAGCAGTAAACGTCTTGTAGCTGGTATGATGATGATGATGATGATAAAATAAGACCTCTAACTTTAAGATTTTCACCTGAATTGTTTAGTATAATTTTGTTGCCCATTTAGAATTCAAATAATCATGGCAGATAGTGCGATGGCTCGGCAACTGTATAGTGGTCTGTAGGCTATATTTCCACACTCAGCAACTCTTTGTGTGACTTACAAATTGTTGTTTCGGGTCTGGGTGTCATGTACTGTATATGTGAAATTGTATGTTAATCCGACACAGGAGAAAATCTTAGTGTAGGCCAACGTTTAAATAAAAGTTAAAATGTTTTAATTTAGACTTTAATGCACTGTATTAGAATTAATTTCACAATTTTTTATTTTTTACAGATATGTAATTTTAAGGGGAAAGAGCCAATTATTTGTTGTACAGATTGTTCGCTTGTCAATGACACAAGGTAAGTCTGCAATACAATAGTATTCATTACTTATTCTGTTATAAGTGTTCAGAGCCTTACTTCGGTACAATACGGCTGCTTTGATCGGAGTACTGTATCACGGCCTCACGAAAAACCGGTGTGAAAAATGCTTGCATTTTGTTTCGCCGTGTGCAGAGACGTTTAGAAAAAGGCGGACATTAATTAACTTAGAAATGACTGAAGTACCAATGTGGCAGTGATTTTTTATGTGTGCGTATGTTTTTTTTATATTAGATGGGACTGACGTTTGGTCACTATCTCGCCTGGTGGTAAGCGATGGTGTAGCCTACGAAGGAGCACGTCGACCCATAAGCAACCTATTCACTCGAGCCTTTAATATACCCTTCAGGAAATACAGACTCTGGCAAAGAATTCCACTCCTTAGCAGTTCGCACAAGGAAGCTTAATGCGAAGCGCTTCGTGCGTGTGGGTGGGACATCTACCATGAATCGGTGACGCTTTGCCGATTGTCTTGTGGTACGATGATGGAAAGGACTTAGGGGGGAATTAAGTTGTGCAATTCCCCCGCACACTCTCCGAAATGTATCCGGTAGAAGATGTAATGGGTTATCACGTTACCAGACCTAAGAAACTGGCAAATGTCCTTCGTGTCAATGTATTTATTTATCAGGTAAATCTATAGTAGCTAAGTGCCACCGTCGCTGTTTCAAGAGACTGTATCCACCTTTTTTATAGTCCTTGGTCGTATGAGTAAGGTTAAACATCTTAACATTTAAATTCAAAATATCTAATGACAAATGCAAAGTTTAAATTATTTACAGAAAAATGATTGTAAGCCCTAGTTTTGGCATAATTCATAAAACCGGACAAATGGCTCAAGACAGTAAGGTATCAATCAACGTAATGAAATATAAAAGAAAATAAAAGTTTAAAATTGAACACAAAATTATTTCTATCTTTCATATTCCAGAATGTATGGAATTTATACACAAGCTCAACTACCCTTGTAAATTATTTCGTCGTGTTGAACTGAGCAGAGTTTATATACCTGACACAAATTGCAATAAAGTAATTGAAGAAGAAAAAACTAACATTACATCTGGAGGCAGTGATTCATTAAGAGATGAATTTCCGCATATGGTGAGAGATAATTCTTATTATTGCGAACACATCATTAATAAAGTTATCGACATAGCCCAAAGGATCAGTAAGCTGAAGTGGCAGTGGGCTGGTCACATTTGTTGAAGAACCGATAACCGTTGGGGTATACGTGTTCTAAAGTGGAGACCGCGTCTAGGCAAACGCAATATAAGGCGCCCTCCAGCTAGGTGGAGTGACGACATCCGCAAGGTAGCGGTAGGCAGTAGTTGGATGAGAAGAGCTGAAGACCGAGCTCGGTAGCATGCCATTGGAGAGCCCTATGTCCAGGAGTGAACGAATACGGGCTGATGATGATGATGATGAACACATCAACTACACAAAAACAAGTATAACGAGGCCGTCTTATATGCGGAATGATCATACGAAGAGAGACTATGATAAATTAGTTTCGTATAGCTCGATGGATGAGTTTTATAATCAATACTAGCTGCTGCCAGTGGCTTCGCCCACGTTCCCTAACGTAGGATAAACGGTGGCCTATGAGATATTCCAGACCACAACC